GTTAGAAAATAATACAGGATATCAAAAAAGCATTACTGGAAATTTAGGCTGTGTGTGTCCTCTGCAGACAGTCAGAAGCTAAGCAGGCTATCTTGATGCTTAAACTTCAATGTCAAGAAACTAGAATGTGCCTGTCAGAGGGACATAAGCATGAAAAAACTTTTGCCTTTACTTTTGGAAAAGGTCTGTATGCATCCATGCAGAGGAGTTTTACTGGTAGGCTGTGTTCTTCTTAGTCTTCCTGTATTTGGACATTTCAGTTGTAGTTTTGGTTGGTTATTGTTTCATTACTGATTTTCAAATGTCTGTTGCCTCAATAATAGCTTTGCCAACAGAGATGCTCAAAAACTTTTAGTGACAGTTAATGTGGCCTTCATGTATAGAAGTTACGTTTTCATACTCTGGCTCTTAACTTTCTGTCGACTCACACAGTGTTATAGGATACAGTTGGCTGTATCTGAAATTCAAATGCCACATTGGTCTGAAAATTAACGTGCCACATTTGAGAATACCGTAATCTTTCCTGTTGTGTAACTAAGTCTCTTCCATTTTAATAGTGCAGTTATTTTTCTCAAATTATTCACATCGCTGGCTCTGAAATACATTTGGCTAAATTAGTAAGGTAAGGGAAATGTTTAGCGAAATACATAACAATGCCATGAAGTTGTGAACTGAGCTGTTTTATAATAGAGTAAATTCTCTCTGCTGAACTCAAATGTGATGTAGATTAAAATACTGGCAGGCTTGTCTGTCTTCTCAAGAAAGATTGAAGAGAAAAGAATTGAGGTCTTACTGGTGGTACTTCAAATGCTGTGAGCTCAATAGGACCTATGCACAATGTGTGTTATATTTTTCTGAATGCATTATATGGTGTTAATTTACACCCAGAAATACATGTTCAATCTAAACTTCATGGGTGCTACAGAGAATCACTGTAAACTAATGAGTCCTGCAGTCCTAATCTTGGTCTCATTAATTCAGGGAATGCCATGATTTTTGAATTATTGCAAATTAGGAGAAATTCCTTTTAATGATTGAGCCTCTCTGTTGGCATTTAGGATTTTACTTTTCTTAAAGAAACAGCAGATAGTGTTTATGTCATAAGAGGATGATCTTTGAAAAATATCTGTTAAGAGTGATTTGCAGTAAGATACTCCTTTGGAATTGTAGGTAGCATAATGAGATGGAGGAATCATTCACCATTGCTAATGAGATGAAGATGTGTCATATTTTAAATTGTTACATTATCAAACTGCCTGAATTAACTAACTTTGGATTTGGTTATTTTTTAGATAGTACTTCAAAGATCCCATAAAGAGAGAGCGTTGGGGTATTTCTTAGGTGCTGTTTTGCAGGAGGTATTGTCTTGAAAGTAAGATACGATTCTTGGATTCTGACCCCTTTGAGATTACCAATTACTTCACCTTTTATCTTGGTGTAACTTCAAAAACTATAGAGCTGTAGGTTTATGTATAGCAAAGGGAATAGCTAGATAAATGCTAGCATTTTTAATGTAATAAAAATGCATTTTTAGGCTTTTCTTTCTAACCATGAAGGCCACCAGCAGAGAAAAGATTGAGTAAGACTTGCTGTAAGAACTGCAAGGGAAGCATGTGAAACATTGATTTGCTGCTACTGTAAATTCTAGATATACTATAAAGTATGCCTTTTAAAAGTAGTATTGCAGGGTGACATATATTTCAATGCGTAGTTTATTTACTTTACAAATCAGTTTTGTCAACTTTCATCCTGCTAGTTCATTCTTGACTCTGAAAGCCAAGCTGGCAAGAATCACATATCACCATCTATAGTTTTTATTTAAATTGCAGTTTAAAGTTACTCAACGTTACTTAAATGTGCCTGATCATAAGCCTGTGGAAATTGGAAAGATTGCCATGTAGTTACTTGATCTTAGTATTGTTTCCCTGAATAAAGACAAAAAAACCAGAATCGTGTTGGATGTTCAACTCTAGGAGTATATGAACAAAAGAAGTTTTTTTTTCAATGAGGAAAAAGACATTTAGTATAAAAAAAGGAACCACATTTTAGGAAAAAATTAGCATTTTATTTAATTACTTTTAGTTAAAATGCAGTTGGAGGGATGTAAATTAGTTGCTATAAAGCAACGTATTTTTGAGCAGAGGACCTGAATGCTGAATTTCTAGCCTGCCTGATAGGTAAACAGATGGGAGAGAAGACTTAAAAAGCAGGGGTTTAAAAATAGAATGGTTTTGGCCCCCAACGGGTAGCATTGCTACTGCTTGGAAATGAGAGAATGATCCTGGGCTTTGTTTAGTTGTTACTGAAGGAATTATATATACCTCATTTAAATAGCTCCTAAAAAGAATGTATTGTGTAAGTAATACTGTAATTTCATGTGCGCAGTCAAATCCCAATAAAGATTTAGTGCCTTATGTTTTTATTAGTAAATATTTACTTAGATTGCTCAATGATATATCTCATTCTTAGGGTATTTTCTGTTAGTCTGAAGCTGGAGGATCCCTCAAGTTTCACATTTACATACTAAATTGTCAGATTCTGCAGCTGCTTTGTGTAGTTTAATGTGGTGCTTGTCTTGTTTCAGAATTACCTTAGGAAACATTTGTGTGTTTGGACAGCATACACATATTGTTTATTACTCCTCTAACAAGTACAGAGCCTGGTTTTTCTTGGGGTTTTGTTGCTTCCTAGAGGATTCCTGAGTGAACTCCAAACTTGAAAATATAGATACCACTGCCTTTTCTTACTGATATGTAGAGTAAGATAATGAGAATGGCCTTCTCTCCTTGCTGCTGAAGTTCTTCCTGATAATCCCAAAGCCAGTCATTTCAACCATCTTTTTGATGGATAAAAGGAAGGAGAACAATTTCCTTCCAACTTTGCCCTGTCTGGTTTTCTGCCTTGCCTAGAGTTGATGCCAGAGATGCTGCAAAGGCTTGTGTGATGAAGGGCATGCTTCTGATTGGTCTGAGGTTGTGTTGTGTGAGCATCACCCGTGTGATGTAGCTGTGTCTGTCAGACCTAGCAGAGGTTGCTTTCACCTCGTGTACTAGGATGGCATTCATATTATCTTCCCATGTTCATACATGTCTGTGTTGTCTGTTCTCTTCACTGGTGTTCATTGCGTTCTCCAAAATTGGACCAAGAGCTTTGTGCTTGGCTACTTTAGATGCTGCAGTTGCTATATCAGCCTTTATCTCTGTTGTGTACAATTTTGTCTGTGTTTAACAGTCCATTATAAAAGGGTTCGAGTATGTAAGTCAAGTAACACGTAATTATTCAGGTTTCTCAGTTAATAGTATTTGGATCTCGTCATAACAGAATTAAACATGTTCCTGTATAATGTTTTGGCACTTTCAGTTGAATTCTAAACAGAAATTGCAAGGGAACTGAACTCATTTGGTTTATTTGTTGGGGAAAAAAAAAGACCTTTGTGACAGGGTTTTCTGAGAATTCTAGGATAAAAATAATTTTGAAGCCAAAATTTCTATTATAAACTCAGTAAGTGTGAAAATGTTAATTATTTTTGACAGTAATACTGTCAGTTAATATTTGTTAATTCCACCCCTGTTGACATATCCAAGGAACACAATTAGAAAAGTTGTTTTCCTGAATTAACATACGTTGATAAACAGTTTTATGTTCTTACTTAATGATGTCTTATCAAATGGCCTCAATGTCTTTAAAGCTGGCTTCAGTCGTGCTGGGGGATCTGGAGGAGCGACCAGGGAAATTCCAGGATTGCTTGACAGGGGCACCGTGTGGGATAGGAACTGCATAGGCAATGTCCTGGAAGAGGCCATGAACTGCTTTGCCGAGATGCAGAGGCAGACAGAGGAGAAATTTCGCTTGTGGATAGAAAAGCTAACCCGTCTTGACACGGATGAAGAAAGCAAGCAACAACTGGAGCCCAGGGAACCTAAAATTCAACTAGTTGGCCAAAGAATCCCCACTACCGCACAGTCAGGGGCTTTCCTACAGATGCCTGATAGCCAAGTACTTCCACAGCAGTCATTTGATTCTTATGTGGGCTATCAAAATGTTGATGATATGATAGAGTTTCCAGTAACTTTTAATAACAATTTTTCACCTATCTTTCCAGAGAATGGGAATATTGCAGAGCCTGATCTGAATCAATCATAAACTTAAAAAATTCTGATCTTTGCAATCTTGATGTTACTTTGGATTATGCTTAAAACAAGGTTTGCTTTTCTCTTCATATGTGTTTGTTTTGATTTTTCTCTTTGGGGTTTTATTACCATGGTATAATTGCTCTTTAATTTGTAGAGAATATATATATATATATA